ACAAGAAAGTTGGTAAGAAAGCATAATTTTTGATTGTCTAGTCTCGTGGCACGAGGCAAAATGCCGGAGTTTCCGTGGCTTAATTTCGACGTCTCCGGTACGCTCGAGACCGTTTGCAATTCTAATGCAGTCATTAACCAGCGTCGTTTAAATGGAAAAGACATCGGTCTCGGTCTCGCGTCGGCTCGATCTCTCTTTCTCTTGGTCGTCCTCCTCGAAAATCCGCGTTCTCTCGTCGAGAGTTGTACCTGGCGAAACGCAAAGCGGCGTTTAATTAATCCGACGACTTGACCGAATTTTTTCAGCGGCGCGATGCGGATCATCCTGGAAACCGCAGAGCCGTATAGCATTCAGTGCATGAAAGCGCGAAAAACAGAGCCAGCCAGCCTGTTACGCGTCGAACGTTCCGCGTCCCGTGAAACAAATACCGTTTTAAAGGAAATGCCAGAGAAAAAAATTATTCCACGAATTCGACAAAAAACAGAGAGAGAATGAAAAAAAATTGGGCGCGTGGTTGTGCGTGGATAAAGAAAAATTTTTGTTAATTCTGAATTTGGGGATTTTGGAGATTTTGGGAATTTTAGGAATTTTAGGAGTTTTAGAGGATTTAGGGAATTTAGGGATTTCGGGGATTTTAGGGGTTTTAGGGATTTTGGGGATTTAGGATTTGGGGATTTGAAGATTTAGGATTTGGTAGATTTGGGGGACTGGGGATTTGGAATTTGGGGAATTTAGGATTTGGGGAGATTGGAATTTGGGGAATTTGGGATTTGGGGAATTTGGGATTTGGGGAATTTGGGATTTGGGGAATTTGGGATTTGGGGAATTTGGGATTTGGGGAATTTGGGATTTGGGGAATTTGGGATTTGGGGAATTTGGGATTTGGGGAATTTGGGATTTGGGGAATTTGGGATTTGGGGAATTTGGGATTTGGGGAATTTGGGATTTGGGGAATTTGGAATTTGGGGAGATGGGGATTTGGGGAATTTGGGATTTGGGGAATTTGGAATTTGGGGAATTTAGGATTTGGGGAGATTGGACTTTGGGGAATTTGGAATTTGGGGAATTTGGAATTTGGGGAATTTGGAATTTGGGGAATTTGGAATTTGGGGAATTTGGAATTTGGGGAATTTGGAATTTGGGGAATTTGGAATTTGGGGAATTTGGAATTTGGGGAATTTGGAATTTGGGGAATTTGGAATTTGGGGAATTTGGAATTTGGGGAATTTGGAATTTGGGGAATTTGGAATTTGGGGAATTTGGAATTTGGGGAATTTGGAATTTGGGGAATTTGGAATTTGGGGAATTTGGAATTTGGGGAATTTGGAATTTGGGGAATTTGGAATTTGGGGAATTTGGAATTTGGGGAATTTGGAATTTGGGGAATTTGGAATTTGGGGAATTTGGGGGAATTTGGGATTTGGGGAGATTGGGATTTGGGGAGATTGGGATTTAGGGAATTTGGGATTCGGAGAGATTGGGATTTGGGGAATTTGGAATTTGGGGAGATTGGCATTTGGGGAATTTGAGATTTGGAGAATTTGGAATTTGGAAATATGGAAATTTGGGTATTTGGAAATTTAGAAAATTGTAAATTTGAGAATTTAGGAATTTAAGAATTCGTGGCATTGGATATGAAAAATATAAAATTGAGACATCATAATTATCAAATTTGGAACCCATAAGTTTGGAAAAAGTAATTTTCAGAATAAGCTTGCACTTTTTTGGTACTCAAATCTAACGGTGAGCCGAAACGCTTCTGTTTGAAGCCTTATACAGAATAATTGCATTTGGAAAAGGAATGAGTTGCTTTTTTGAGAAACGGATGCGTGACTTATGCATATGAGCGACGATCGCCTTATACGCGATCCGAGGAACTCTCACTCGGTATTGTTCGTCCACTATAAAATAGTTTCAACGCAAATGTGATCGTATGATCTTCAATCACTATGTTAACTCTTATAATTTAATTTAATGCGTGTTAACGAATTTTATATCCATTATTGATGTCTCTTTATAATTCAGCACTCAATCCAACATTCACAAAAATTTCTACCGAATTTTGGGTGAACAAATATTTATCACTTATATTGTACAATAATCAATGCCCTAACAAAATCATTACCAATAACAATATTTATTTGACAATGATCGACATAAATCTTGAACGTCATACTAAGTGTTAGATCACCAAAAGTTTTCAGTAATGTATATGGAATTTATTGCCCGCAAAATTGATTAAATTCATTTTATAACGTGAAAATATGAAAAATAAAAGTCAGCGTGCTAACAGAGTTAGAGTGATGAATGATCATTCAGGTGTTATCAGCAACATGACTCGGCGTTATAATAAAGTGGGTTAACTGGCTATTCGTTGTAGTATCGTTCGATATTAATAAATCAGATGCAGATAGACGGACTTCTATCGCAAATTGAAATCCGTGTATCTCAGGCAGCGGTTTTGCTGGCAGCGCGTGTTACACGGGACACGAACCTCCCGTAATGAAAACAATTTCGAAAAGCTGATTGCACGCGTAACGACGATCGACTGTTTCAGTTTTAACGAGCGATAGGAAATTGTGTCGTCGAAGGGAAAGCTACTACGGATGATGTAAATCATCGCGTCGTTTCGTGTTCATCCGAACGAGAAACAGGTACAGTCGTTGTTCGTTTGTCGTATGCGTTCTGTCCACTTCAGTTTACAGATCTGACTATCGATATTCTAAGATTTCGATAATGTACATATCGCTCGATATATTGGTAATATTGAATAGGTATCGTTCTGGACGAACGGTGGTTGAAACTGTAAGTAATTCTTAGAACCTCGAATAATATTATAGTGAAAATCTTCCAGTTTTAAAATTTTGAAATGCAACAAAATTTTTAAGTTTTAAATTTCTATATTTCCGAATCTTTGATTCAATGAATTTTTAATTACTCATTGAATGTTAGTTACTCAAACTTTTGAATCCCTAAATTTTAATGATTTATAAATTCTAAAGTCCTTAGATTTCCAAATCCCTAGATTCCCAAGTCCCTAGAGCCCAAATCCCTAGATTCACAAATTCCGAAATCCCAAATCCCTAAATCCAAAAATCCCTAAATCCCAAATTCCTAGATCCACAAATTCCGAAATCCCCAAATCTCTAAATCCCTAAATCCCTAAATCCCCAAATCACTAAATCCCCAAATCCCTAAATCCCCAAATCCCTAAATCCCCAAATCCCTAAATCCAGAAATCCTTAGACCCCAAATCTCTAAATTCCAAATCCCTAGATCCCGAATCCCTAAATCCCAAACCCCTAGATCCCTAAATCTCTAAATCCCCAAATCCCTAGGTCCCTAAATCCCTAGGTACCCAAATCCCTAGGTCCCCAAATTCCTAGATCCCAAATCCCTAGATCCCAAATCCCTAAATCCCAAACCCCTAGATCCCCAAACCCCTAGTTCCCAAAATCCCTAGATCCCAAAATCCTTAGATCCCCAAATCCCTAGGTCCCCAAATTCCTAAATCCCAAATCCTTAAATCCCAAATCCTTAAATCCCAAATTCCCAAAACTCCAAATCTCCAAATCTCCAAATCCCAAATCCTTAAAACTCCAAATCCCCAAAACCCTAAATCCCCAAGTCCCCAAATCCCCAAATCCCCAAATCCCCAAATCATCAAATCCCTAGTTTCACAATTCTCTAAAATCCCCAAATCCTCAGACTTCCAACTTCCGTTCGCAACGACGATATCTGAACAATATTGCCGATATACCGTTCGAATATCAGAGGGTATCGATAATCGATAATCATACCTGCAGTCAAGGCAATCCAAACGACACTAAACAACATATTTTGCGTGTGTCTATACGTGAACCGTAGATTAATACAGACCCATGTAGAATTTTAATTAGCACTCAAGATGCGTTCGAGTGCCGCACCGATTCGACAACGAGAAACTCCGACGACCGCGCTACGTTTCCCCCCACCGAATGTTTGTGCAAACTAGATAATAAAAAAAAGCTCCACCAGGAAAGTTTCGAGAACGTTTCCTCGGTTTTATAAACGTGCTTGTTCAAGTTGCACCGTTTTCAAATGAGACTGGACCTTTAATCGTTTGCTGAATCCTTAGCGTTAATTGCGGTCGAAAGTTCGCTAATTAGGAAGTAATTATGTGTACAGATTAATATTTGAAGCCAGTAGCACCTGATTTTCGTTCCTGTAACCCGTATCATTATTTTACGTTCTCCTGTGCTTCTTTTTTAATGCAGCCGCAAATATCTTTTGTTGGAAAGAGCATGTCGCTGTGAACTCTTCATGAAACTTGTCATCCGTATTCGCATATGTCTCATTACATTTCGTACGCACTTTTAAGACTCTTCGAAAATTTGTATAAGTTTGTAAGAGGAATATTAGATGCAAGATTTTTGGTGACTATGATTTTTGTGTAACTTTGCTGGGGTGAGTTTCAAAGGAAAAATTCGAAGTTTTAGAAGTCTTGAAATTTCCAAATATATTGAACAGTCTTACATCACCGTCAAGTGCACAAGAACCTCAATCTCGAGATTATACGGTCGGTTAGAGATTGTTTAAACATCCCGAAACCGTCAGAATTCTTGAATGCATCGTAGAAAAGAATCTCTCAAAGGTCGTACGTCGTACGGTAAAAGGAAATCGAATTTTCGAAGAGTATTTCAGTAGACATCCCGGTGTCTGTCCCGAGGCACCGGCCACAAAACGACCTTCATCCTTCACCGATCTCCAGCAAATCACCTCGACTCCCTCTGTCCGCTCTTTTTCATTCTCCCCTTCCTCCGTAGGAACGTTGGCGAGTCACGAAGTCGTACGTTCATATTTCATCGTCGCAAGACCGCATCGTAGCCCACTCATTCTCCGTTCATCATCGTCTCTAATCATTTCATTATTTCACGGCCGTTGCTTCGCCGCTTCGATTTGTTGTAGCCGTTTTTCTTTTAAGTTGCTAGTCCCTATCCTGTTCCTACTTTCTGTTCCAGATTTCGTACGAACCGTCGACGTACGGTACGAAAGGCATCGAGATCGAGGATGTAGCGAACAGGGTTGTCCTGTCACGAGAATCGTATCAAGAGGATGTGCACGAGAGCACGAATCGCGTCCACGAACAAGCTCACCGTCCGGAGGGGAATCTGTAATCGTTCGTTATCGACCGAAGCATCGATCAAGACCACTGCCATCGTGATGACGAGCTAGAGACCAACGTAATATTCCGTCCGTGAGCCGTCCTTCGATAGTCGTTTTCGTACCGATCGCCGTAGAACCGTTTGTCCGCCTTTCGAGATCAAAGACTGAACCGTATATCAAAGACAGGAAAGATGTTGGGAGTGAGTCAACCGGGAAATCCACCCTCGAGCCTGCGACATTCGGCGAGCTTCTCTTGTCTGCAGCGGGGCACAGCGAGCGAGGGGCACAGGGCGAGGACCTCGACCCTGCTGCAGCAGCCGAGCCTGCAGCTAAGCGGAAGCCATCACCAATACTCTTCCGGTCAAGCATCCCTGCTGCAACACTCGACCGGTAACGTTCAGCACCGCATCGAGGCGTTGGAGTCCATTCAGGACAGCAACGACTACGGTTTCGTGAAGATTAGACCGCGTTTGCGCAGCACGAACGCCACCTTGTACTACGAGGAGGAGGTGGCTGCCCAGAAGAACGCCCTGTGGGATCGCGACGCGTCCGCGTTCAGCGACCGCGAGTGCGACACCAATTACAGAGAATGCTCCCTGAAGATGAAGGACCGCGACCACTCGCCGAAAGTGGGCACCTCGAAACACCAGAACCCTTTGAGAGGAGCGTTGATTCTGTTCACGTCGACGTCCTCCTGGTGGAAAGCCAGACAGCGAGAGGATCAGTTGAACGGGTCGTCCGATGACATCCCGGTGTCTGTCCCGAGGCACCGGCCACAAAACGACCTTCATCCTTCACCGATCTCCAGCAAATCACCTCGACTCCCTCTGTCCGCTCTTTTTCATTCTCCCCTTCCTCCGTAGGAACGTTGGCGAGTCACGAAGTCGTACGTTCATATTTCATCGTCGCAAGACCGCATCGTAGCCCACTCATTCTCCGTTCATCATCGTCTCTAATCATTTCATTATTTCACGGCCGTTGCTTCGCCGCTTCGATTTGTTGTAGCCGTTTTTCTTTTAAGTTGCTAGTCCCTATCCTGTTCCTACTTTCTGTTCCAGATTTCGTACGAACCGTCGACGTACGGTACGAAAGGCATCGAGATCGAGGATGTAGCGAACAGGGTTGTCCTGTCACGAGAATCGTATCAAGAGGATGTGCACGAGAGCACGAATCGCGTCCACGAACAAGCTCACCGTCCGGAGGGGAATCTGTAATCGTTCGTTATCGACCGAAGCATCGATCAAGACCACTGCCATCGTGATGACGAGCTAGAGACCAACGTAATATTCCGTCCGTGAGCCGTCCTTCGATAGTCGTTTTCGTACCGATCGCCGTAGAACCGTTTGTCCGCCTTTCGAGATCAAAGACTGAACCGTATATCAAAGACAGGAAAGATGTTGGGAGTGAGTCAACCGGGAAATCCACCCTCGAGCCTGCGACATTCGGCGAGCTTCTCTTGTCTGCAGCGGGGCACAGCGAGCGAGGGGCACAGGGCGAGGACCTCGACCCTGCTGCAGCAGCCGAGCCTGCAGCTAAGCGGAAGCCATCACCAATACTCTTCCGGTCAAGCATCCCTGCTGCAACACTCGACCGGTAACGTTCAGCACCGCATCGAGGCGTTGGAGTCCATTCAGGACAGCAACGACTACGGTTTCGTGAAGATTAGACCGCGTTTGCGCAGCACGAACGCCACCTTGTACTACGAGGAGGAGGTGGCTGCCCAGAAGAACGCCCTGTGGGATCGCGACGCGTCCGCGTTCAGCGACCGCGAGTGCGACACCAATTACAGAGAATGCTCCCTGAAGATGAAGGACCGCGACCACTCGCCGAAAGTGGGCACCTCGAAACACCAGAACCCTTTGAGAGGAGCGTTGATTCTGTTCACGTCGACGTCCTCCTGGTGGAAAGCCAGACAGCGAGAGGATCAGTTGAACGGGTCGTCCGATCGAGCACTCGCGACGACCACCGCGGCCGTCGGCTCCTCGTCCGAGCGAAAGTGGTCGAGCACCTCGATGGCGTCCCCGTCGAACGAACGTAAATGGCCGTCGGTGACTTCGCCCACGAACGATCGGAAGTGGTCGGTAGGCAACGGCGCCTTGACGTCGCCGGGCAACGAGAGGAAGTGGACCAGGTCGTCCGTCTGCTCGAACTCGACCGGGCAACAGGACAGGAAGTGGCGATCTCTCGGCGCTCTGCTAAGGGCTCCCACGGGCACCGGTTCGCACGCTGTTCAGCACTCGCTGTCCCATAACATGAGCGTGTCGATGATCGAGGGCGAGCACTTCCGGGAGGATCCGCGTGGCTCGAGTTGCAAGTCGACGCGTTACCAGCAGCCCACGTCCTATTCGGCTCGCGTGTCCAGAGTCAGCCGGGACATATACAGAGAAAACGGGGAATTCGGTCAGACCTCGGGTAGATCGAAGGTCAGCCGTAGGCTGTACCAAGACAACAACGCTACGGAGTCGACTGAGAGAGACATCGACGAGAGACATCTGAACAGACATCAGTTCGAGGAGGATTGCCGAGGCAGAACGAACAGGGAGAGCTTCTGCAAAACTGATCAGACCGGAAGCGAAACACGGAACACTTCTACCAGATCCAGCAGAGCTCAAAGCTTTTATCTTCTGGATGATTTCCTGCGGCCACAACCGCAGCCGAACAAATGCATGCTGAACGTTTATTTGTCGCCGTCGCACTCCAAGTCTGGCAATAACGATCACGGCAGATCTGCCGAGGTGAAACAGATCTCGCAGGGGAACGTCACTAACATAACACCGCCCCGACGTCACAACTCCAGCTCCGATAGCCTCGAGGTTGCGACCAGTCCGCTTCCGCCACCGGTTCCACCGCCGCCTCCTCAGGTCACCACCCGGGACAGGGAAAGGGGTGAGAATTTCAAAGAGAAGGACGTGTGCCAGTGCAAAATGTGCTGCACCATTATGCAGCAGAGATCTTTCGTTGAAGAGGTAAGTCCTCGGGGAGAGGAATATAACCGAGGGGGATACGTTTGCCGTACTTTGCCGCGGTTCTTTTGCCCCCATATGGGATTTCGTCGAATTTTAACCGCCGCTCGTATCTGTCAAGACTCATCCCCTTTTATGCGTTATTTTTGCTTGCGGATTTTTCTGCAAATATTTGCAAGTCGATTTATAAAATTCGTAATAAAAAGATCTAACGATGATTGATAGTCGTTTCTCGTAAAAACGCGGAAACTTAAAATCTCTTTCAAATACGTGATCGATCAATGATTTAAATCGCGTCTCGTCGAAGATTTACACGCGTAAACAGCTTGGAACGTTTCAGACAACGAACCCGGCTTGAAATATCGCGGCGTGTCGCGGCACGACGACAAAAATATCGTTGCGGGACGTTTTGACCGGTGGTGCCAACATTGTTCTTTGGAGTCGTTGATCGTCGCCGGTGACGAATGTGCAGCCACAAATTGCGTTCATATGACAAAATGTCTAACACGAAAGATGTTCTGAATATTCTTTTCATGCAGTTATGGTAAATTTCAAATGTCAAAGTGTATTAATTATTTTCTTACGAAGTATCGCAGTAATGTTGTATTAACATCGACTCACCAAGCGTTAATTTTGGTAAACGAAGATTCATTTATTCGCATTTACTCGCATAAATTCGAATGCAGGGGTAAAAATTGCGCTCTCGTACGTGACAGAAATTCGGAACGAAGGTTTTCGAAGTATCGCATGTAATATTGCATTAACACCAAGGGTTAATCATTTTGACAAACGAAGGCTCGATTTACGATCGCGTAAAAGTTCGGTAACTGGTTGCCGCGAGGGGGTTAAAAATTGCGCTACCGCACGAGTACGTGTCGAAAATCCGCAATGGAGGTTGCTGTCGGCCACAAGGATACAGCAGCCGTTTAAAATCGACCAGAAATCCAGTTGAATCGTCCAGCAGCGTTGCAGCGGTTACTAATAATAGAGTAGATGCTGGAAGGATAGAAATACGACTTCCTTCGGTACCCTCTACCCCACCGCGTCCCAAGAATAACGGGCTTTCGCGTTCGATACAACCGCACGATCAGCGAAATAAGGGGTCAGGGGCGGCAACCTAATTCAAACATTCGTGATACGGCTAACGGGGTGAACGAAGACCCGCGATCACGTGCTTCGAGGTCTAGAACAGGTTGAAAGGGAGATCGAAGGAAAAATGACGTCCACCATGATGTTTAGAAAGTTTGTCGTAACTGCTGATGATAATCCTTGGTGATGTTAATCGTTGCATGATGCTTCCATTTTTGTGGTACTTTCGTTAACTTTCGAAAGGAAAATAATATCGTGGATGTTACAAATTTTAATTTAGAACAAAAAAGATTTTTGCAACATTTTTATTATATTTTTTTACTTTCACATTAAATTAAAGCTATGTTTTCATAGAAATATTTAAAATTGTCAACTTTTGAGTTTCTTGGTTTTTAAGGATAAAAATTTTTGAATTTAAAAAATTTTGAGCGTGCAAGGTTTTAAGATCACTCACTTTTAATTGACATGTCAAAATATGTTCTTATCAGACTTGTAATATTATGGTTGTTACGCTTGTTTGATGACTTTCCGCTGAATGTGCCAATTACTAGGCGCCTTTAGGTGCCCATTGCATCGAAAGGGTTAATTATCGATTATGGACGGTTCATATGTACAGTAACGTTCAAAAGTTTTGGTGAACATAATTTCAAGATTTTATATGCAGCTTCAAATTTCAGTAACTTTACTCATTCAATAGTGATTCATGAACGTTCAATCATTGTCAAAGTCATAGAATTAAACCAAGGAATAAATACAAATAGAAAAGGTATATTATTAAAAAGTTTTAAAGATGTGCAATAAAATTCTTGCCAAAATACAATAGTAAAGATTGCAATAGATAATTAAACCACACAAAATATCGCTAAATAAGACTTTTGTATAATACTGTGCAATTTACGCAACAGAAGAGTTAAAAATATAAAATCTATAAGATTATCAGGGATGCGTGTCAGTGCACGATCTAGTTAACGGGGTAACGCGTTAATTGCTCTGGTGAGTACACGTGACCCGCAACGTGGATTAAGTTTAATTAAACAGAAACGTATAAAACAAACAAAAATTCGTTCTAAACATGTTGCAGTTAATTGCACGTTATCTATGGTATTTGAAATCTAGGAAAAATTTAGAAATTTAAGGATTTTGATATTTAGAAATGAAAAAATGCCAGTATTTGTAAACTTGCAGATTTAAACTTGAAATTCCTAAAAGTAGAAAATCGAAAGATCTAAAACTTGCCAATTTAAAAATTAAAAAATAGCCAACTTCAATATCCCCATCCGCAACCTCCGATTTATCCCTGAAATAACAAAGTCAACAAAAAACTGTGAAAATCCCGACTAAAAACTGCTATCTAATAGAAGTTCCAACAGCTCCGTCGTAGCAATCAATGCGTTATTAATTTTCATTAAAGCGTGTCGTGTCTTACATTGCCAATTTGATTGCGGCAGTAAACCGCGTTAATGAAAGGAGGCGCAACGTTTTATGGCCATTGTACTCGTTTGTCTCAGTCCGTCCTTTGTTGTCAGGATTTTAGCGACGCGTAACTTGGAACGTTTACCCTCGTCGTTCTTTCGCGATCGTTCATCAACCGTATCGTTGATTCCTCGTTTTTTTTTTCTCTCTATAATATCAAGACGTCCTAGGTCAGGGACGCGTAACCTACGCATCCGGTTCAGACAACCACGTCCACCGGTCTGTCGAGAGCCGCATAGACTGCTGCTGCGGCTAATTCAACGTCTACCACGGCAAATTACTAGCACCGTGTTTCTTTTTATTCCCAGCCGAAGAATGTGGCGTTAAATTCGCGGGATTTCAGGTTTCTCGAACTACGCGACATGCTTCGAATACGCGCTACAGACTCCAATTTTTCTTATTCGAATACCTTAGCTACTGTGGAGATAATTTGTGATTGCTTCTATACGTTAATCGTGGTAATTACGTATTATGAAATATTGGTGCGGATGAAGTTAGCGTTAGGGAATTTGGACATTTAAGGATTGGGGGACTAGGGAGTTTTGGAACTAGGAAATTTGGGGACTAGAAAATTTGGAATTGGAGAATTTTGGATTTAGGAAATTTGGGATTAGGGGATTTGGAACTAGGGAATTTGGGAACTAGTGAATTTGGGAATTAGGGAATTTGGGAACTAAGAAATTTGGAACTAGGGAATTTTGGAACTAGGAAATTTGGACCTAGGGAATTTAAGAACTGGAGAATGGGGGGGATAGAGAATTTGGGAACTAAGAAATTTGGAACTAGGGAATTTTGGAACTAGGAAATTTGGGTCTAGAGAATTTAAGAACTAGAGAATTGGGGGGCTAGAAAATTTGGGAACTATGAAATTTTGAACTAGGGTATTTTGGAACTAGGAAATTTGGATCTAGGGAATTTACGAATTAGAGAATTAGGGGGCTAGAGAATTTGGGAACTAAGAAATTTTGAACTAGGGAATTTTGGATGTAAGGAATTTGGGAACTAAGAAATTTGGAACTAGGGAATTTTGGATGTAAGGAATTTGGAACTAGGAAATTTGGAACTAGGGAATTTTGGATCTAAGGAATTTGGAGATTAGGGAATTTTTGAACTAGGGAATTTAGAATCTAGGGAATTTGGGATTTAGACAAATTGGGAACTAGGGAATTTGGGAACTAGGGAGTTTGAGAAACATAACTGAAAATTTCTGATCTTAAAAATTTGTAAAATTCTTAAACTTGAAGAATTGCTTGCTGAAAGAATATATTATAGTACAACAGTAAATCTGTAATATGAAATTCTTATAACTTGAACGATTATCATTTGATAATTATTTTGACCGATTTAATTCGTCACGCTAATAATTATGCTGTAATAGAATTTACGTTCTGAATGGGAATTATTAGGTTGGCAACTAAATTCGTCTCTACCGCTTCCTTCCTGTAGAATGATTTATTAAAATTCATTGAAATTGTACAAGAAGTTTGAACATAGAGGCTTATTTGTGAAATAAGATGAATTGGTACGAACTTTAGATGGTATAGTTGTAGAGAATGTACAGTATAAATCAATTTTAGTCTCATTTTGAGAAAGTAGCTCGAAGCGAGCTCGAATTTGATACAGAGAACGGGAAGTAATCTAATTTTCCAACTTACGTCAATCTTACTCTCAGGAGGTCATTTAGAAGCTTGAAACTTCTAGTATCAGTCAAGATTATACTTAATCAAGTTTTTGCTGGGAAAATGAGAAATACACCTTGAAATTTCGTTAAAAATATCATCATGTTTTTCTGTAGATACAGTACTTCATTGGTATATTATTACAAAAACAGAGACAAATTTTGCTAAATAATATTTTGTAAAATATTTACTAATGTAAGATAAAATTATTTTTCGTTAAATTTCGTCGAATATCAAATCGGAACTAGCTACGTATATTGTCAGCAAATATTATACATACAAGGTTTGTCCATCAATATTAACAACATAGATACTATTACATGTTATGATTAAACTAGATGTTTATACATTTGTGATTTATTAACGTTTGCAAAGTAAACACAAATCAATTAGTCCATATGCTGTGCATAGATTGTATGATTTATTCACATGAACCTGGACCTGGATGTATCAAAAGCATAAACATATGCAATTATATTGTACGATATTTTATTGATGTATGACATTCAGAACTTTTAAGGGATGTCATGGAGAAAGAAGTCATAAATGTCATACGATGGTCTCTTGTTTACTATGCAAGCTTTATATAAAATATTGTTCCCCAACATGGATGACGTCAAAAATACTTAAGTCATTGTTTGACTTAAATATTGTCCATTGTTGATTTTCTGTTCTATCCCTAAACAAATGCAGCTACATAAAACTTAACATGATTCGAATTTCGAAATCTAAGTGGAAGTTGAATTATAATATATATTTTGC